CTTTTACTTACGTTAGCCAAAATCTAAGTAAAATACTTAAGTTTTGTACTTAAGTATCGAATTAAATACGGGCCCAGAGGCTTGCCCGAAATAGCAAGAGATGATTTTTGCAAGGTAGATTCAACCCCAACGAAAGCTATCATACATAATTATAACAAATGAATTGAATAACTTTAAAGGAGCTTTGAAGGACATTAGTTGAAACAGAATCTGCGAATTCCTCGACGAATATAGAAAATAAAACAACTACCATAATAATGGTAATAAGAAAGAAACAGTACATTAGTAGATCTGTACCCACACGTAATAAAATCAATAATCGAAACCGAATCGTATATATGCCAAAATCTATAACTGCTAACTACTATTTTTTCTTGGAAGAAACATCCATATTTTTATAAACATTTATATATTTATTCATTGCTTTGTCGAATCCTTGCACTAGTTTCGGATCATATTGAACTGAAAATGAGTACAAATCATTAGTCTGATCTAAACATTGCTAATTAAAAGATGATTTTCATTCTTGCACGAACTTTTGGTATATATCACCGGTCGCGCACTATCAGTCCAGATAATGAGGGGACTTTATACAAATGGGGGGGGGGGGGAGGGGGGGGGGGGGGGGAACTTACTAGGTGGATGGAATGCGAATGGACAAGACTACAAGACTATTGATTAGGGGTGGGTGTTATTTTCACTTTTCCTTTCCCCTTTTCCAATTTTTTTCTTTATTTGATTGGGTCAGGGCGTATGTTTTTTTAATTTTTGCTCAATAAATTCATTAAAACTTCATGGAAGTTTCGTAAATGTTTGATGAATAGAGGTAATTAACTAAAAACAAGGTCTATCTTTATTAAATCGAATACCTCTTTATGCTGAGAATGAAAATAGATTTCCCAATTATAGCCATAGAACATATCAAAGAATGTAAGTAATTCCAATTCCAATTATAATTCATTTAACGATAACGATTAAAAAATTAACTTTCCATGTATAGACTAAACGGACACACAAGCAAAGAAAACAATAAAACAAACTAACAAATGACGTCAGACCAAATGCTTATTATTTCATGGATTTATTACGAATGATAACATTATTCACATTTTTGTACAATATGTTACAAGGTTTGACAATCAAACATTTCTCTCTACTGGTAGATACTAGTTTCGGAAGTACAGAATTTTTTCTTTAATTATATCTTTGTAACAAAACAGGTATATACAAGAGCCTCTTAAAAATGAAAGAAACTAGACTTGTTCACTTTAGGTAAAATACTAATCTAAAGTATTATCAAAGTTTTCGAAAGTACAATATAATCGATCCTCGATTGACTCTTTACGTTGCATTTTATGTTTTCTTTTTACAGAAACATATCAATTTGTATGTTTGCACAATTACACGTTTATACTGCATAAACTCGATACATAAAAATCAACAATTCAAATTAATTCATTATTTCAGATTTTTTTTTAGAAAGTTAATTTAAGCAGTTCACAAAAAGAGGGGAACACTATAATGTGAAAACATGACAAGGAGAATATTGGATGCAGATGGTTACATTGGGGAGAGCGATAGAGGTTTTTTCTATATTGTGTTCTTCGGTTTTTCTAAATAAAATACCATCTTATGTCTATTTTTGCAGCAAGCTTAGATTTATCTTCATACAACAAACCACAAAAAAAATTAAACTAGATCTTTATTGCCATTGCGCAATCACAGCGCATGGAGCTTACTTCCTTTTGAGCGTGAAGTCTCCATTTACTTGATTTGTGTGTGTGTGTGTGTGGGGGGGGGGGGCATAGACAAATGGAGTATTATGTATAGGGGGCATATACACTTTTTTTTGGCGCTTAGATTATGTTTTTAAGCGAATTTCGAGCCCTTATTTAACTTGTTGTTTCATTTTTATATTCATGTAGAGCCATAGACGCTTTAGCGATTAAGGAGAGTCTAAATGAAATAGTCGGGTTTTCATATACGTTAAAAAGGAAACGGATGAACCGGTCGACAAGTTAATACATTCTTTTGAGTGACACGAAAACTTCACTCCTTTACACGTCTTAGATTACCTTTAAATCGTTAGAAAATTCCTCACACAGCAGCAGATACTACAAATTATATGCGTTACGCTCACAAAGCTTTAACCCCAAATCGTCTCTTACACAAAGAGCCGTCCTTAAGATGAATTTGAGTTAGAATGGTGGATGGGGCTGCTTACCGAATTTTCTGACGTCCCATTAAAAACTGTTTTAGCATCCTGAGATAAAAATTTGCTGACATGTATAATAAAGGGTCTTCAGATTTCTGAATTGTAGTTAGAGGTTCAGAAAACTAGCAAGAAGCAATATAAAAAACCCTCCAAAATCAACTGTTCTGATAATTACATTGGCTAAACTATGATAGAATTAAATAATAAGCTATAGGAATGTTCCCACATTTCAATAGGAAATGCACTTAAATGATAATATAATTTTGAAAACGATATTAATTATGATTATTTCTCTATTTTTGCAACAGTTTGTTGAATCCTCCAACATTCTTACATAACATTCTTTAGATTCTTTCGTACCACGATCGCAGAGACTTTCCAAAAATCAAAAGCATTTTCAATAACCCTTTTTCTTAAATGTGCAAATATCACAATGACATAATTATGTTATCCGACCATGATTTCTATCAATACTATAGGGTATTAAACTTACCCTTGAGATGATATTTCGAAAGTGCTTGCGATCGTATTTGAAATTGATAAACTGTCATCCATTAATTGCACTATACTATACATTCCTTTAAAATTGCTTTCTATAAAAAAATAAACATACGGTTTAAAGCCAACAACAATAAATGATAAATATAAAATCATCTCGCATCAAAGACACGCATCGTGGCGGAGAAATCTACGTAGCATTTGAAGTCTGCACTCCTGATCAAACACAATCATAACAAATATAAATATTTTTTTACAAACTAAATGATAATTATGAACCAAACATTTGATTTTTTTTCTCTGCACGTAGCGAAATATTCGATACTATAATCTGTGCTTATTCAGGCACAGTTTGATACTTGATTTTCATTGAAAGTTGAAAGAAAGAAAGTATGAACAAAAGATGAAGTAATTTTAACTAATAAAGCTAAAACAATACCCATTGCATAATAACATAACAAGCAGAAGCAGATCTGTCGGAGAAAACCACACGTACTGTATGTATCCCCCAACAAAAAGCAGCGTATACTTTCTACTGGATTGACTTCAATAACATCACATTATTTATTTGAAAAATAATAACTCTGTCAATTTTTTGTTCGCATATCTCGCGCTAATTTCACAACAACACGTACACGATTACCTACAATCTAATCTTACATAATTATATTCATTATTGCCATATCTATACAAACTATTGGATAAGGTTGCATTGTATAAAAAGCGTATGTTTTTGGGGAATACGATTTGCTGTTAGTAAAGAAACGGAGTAAAATCGTAAACGCCTGCGAAAAGCGATCAAGATCATCAAGTTTTTAAAACTCTTTTTGTGAGCCTGTGTTCTATTCATGAACACAACTTCTACATATCCAGAATCTAAATTCCCTGGGGAAGTATCAGGCAAATGTGAATACCATTTTCCTGAATTCACGCATTGACATTGAAAAAGTAAACAATATCATCAAAACTGTTTTTTGTGGAATAACTTCAAAGTACTAAAACTGGCCTTCACGATTGCAATATAAGTCCTGTGGAATATGACGACTGCGATTTCAAATCCATGAAGTTATGAGGAAACTTTAAACGGGTAAATACATCTGAAGAAAGAGCGAGTAGAAAGCTGCTTTTCTTTTTGCCTCCAACAGGGCCCCGATTCATTAAACTTACCATAAATTACAAATGCTAAATTTCTATGACAAATTTACTCTCAGCCAATCAAATGCCTCGACTTCAGTAGAAGTTATTGTAACTCGTTATTGATAACAAGTTGTATGAAACAGGGCCCAGGTTCACCAGTATAGTTAACATAACATTTACAAACAAAGCTTTTGAAATGTTTGATTCCAGTAACAGCCACCGCGAATTGTTTACCATACAATTTCTCTGATTCATTTTGCAAATTAGCGATTTTCTTTTCTCATCTATACAATATTGAGGTGCTTACAGAGCTTTAAAGGGCAATCCAACCCTCACGTTGATTCGTATAAAAGCAGAAAAATAACACATAACTTTTATCAATAAGTATTTGGGTGATGGGATGTCTATTAGCCTCTCTTCATTTCTATTTTATCTCCTTTTCTCTCTCTCTCTCTCTCCCCTCGCCCCCTTCTCTCGCTCTCTCTCTCTATGTCATGGCATCGCTCGACTATGGTGAATGTGGCATCTGATCAAATTTGCCTACACGTATCCAACAAGGGAAAGAAAAAAAGGACCATAGAAAGTTAGAAGGGGGGTGGTGGTGCACCCTTGCCATCATACCCTCTCTAGCCACGCCCTCCTCACTCTTCCCCCATCCTCTTTATCACAACAAAGGAACATACCTCTGTGTTAACTTGACAATACGGCATTGACTAAATCCTGTCCCATCTCTTCATTATTCCTTTTTCAATGCCTTTCTCTTTCACGTTTTCCATTACCTTTCGTCTTCCTCGTTCTCCTATCTTGATCTTTCTTTCTCTCTTATTTTCACTCTCCCCTACTTTCTCCCGCTCTCTCTCTCTCTCTCCCACTATCTCTCTCTCTTTCTCTCTTTCTCTCTCCACCTCTCATGCAGTTTCCTCTCCAAATACACATTGTTTCTCTCCCTCTCTGGTTCACACTGCCATTTCCCCTGCCCCTCCATCTTCAAAACACCCGTTCCTATCCAAACCATGCAATGTTCATGGGAACAGTCCTCCATTTAAGGTTCGCCCTATTACAACATAACTAAAAGGGAGAGACCAACAATTCATTCAATGATTTTGGGTTAGGCTGGACGGGACTTACTGACAAAACAATACACTTTTTACCTGTACAATAGCTGCATATCATTTAGAAACATAACCATGATTACATTCAAGCTTAATATTCTGAGAGGACGATTATGGCTTCAATGATTATTAGAAATCTGTAGCGGAGTATTTGACGTGAAACTTCATCATAGAATGCGTTTGCTCCGTGTAGGCATAGGCATGCGAGGTTGTGGGGGAAAAGGGGTAGGTAGCTGAAGGGCTGCAGTCCCCCTCGATAATTTTAAAATTGCAGATACTATTTAAACTACCGCCATTTTAACAGCTGCTGACGATTAATCGGTAACGAGGTAAACCATCTATAGTATAATTTATTCGTATTTGTTATCATTTGATGATAACATTAATTTGTTAGTGCCATGAATTGTCTCTTTTCTCGCAGATGAATGGGGCACGTAACAATAAGCCCCTCTCATCCAATTGGGGCCGAACGCCTATGCATCGTGTAGGCTGCATGTAGATTCGCCATACCGACAATCTGTTCCGCAATCTCTTGCCACCTTCCTCCAACAGCATGCAGAACCCATATTAGGTTAAATCGTGATGAACCGGTTCCGCTAATGTCCTGTGTTCCATGCGTTGCTCTTCAGGTAAAGCCTCCTTGAAGGATATGTGGAATATCGCACCTGCAGAGAGTGACGAAATAAAGAACAAAACGTAGCTCCAGTGGCTCAACTGGTCTTCCAGTTGTCCTGCCGTTAGCTTTACCCTGTGGTGTTACTTCGGCCTATCACTCGGGTCGGTCGGCCTACTGTTTTTCAGACCCGAAGAAACTTGTTGATCATTTACGACTCATCTCATGTCGAGTTACCCTTTTTATGATTCTATAGTAGAAACTTTCATAACCTCAGTCTTATTTGTATACACACGGGATAAAGAGTCTTACTTCTCAAAAAAGAGCGGGTAAAGTCATTTTTCTTTCAACGTCGCAATGGTCTTCAAATCCAATCCCCCTTGGTCGAAGCACTACTAGTCCTGCCGTTGTTGACCGTATAGGTCACCTCGGCAACTCCGTTGGAAGCGCAACTGAGCTCTTGCTCGTTGGAATCTATCAACATTTGTTCCGTGGCTCGGGCCGCTTCTGCCATGGCGGTGAGCTTCCGGGTCAGGTGAGGGTTGCCCACCACCATGTTCCTGGTTTTCAGGAGCTCCAGCTGCGTGTAGAGTCTCTTGAGTTCATCCTATAGGAGATACAGGGTGATAGAAGAGGAAGAGAGAGGAAGGGAGAGCAAGACAATGGGAAAAGGAAGGAGAATGAGATAGAGAGACAGAGGCAGAGAGAGAGAGAGAGAGGAAGAGAGGAAAACAGGAAAAAAGAAAGAAAGAGAGAGAGAGAGAGAGAGAGAGAGAGAGAGAGAGAAAGATAGACAGACAGAAGAAGAAAGGAGGTATAGAAAGAGAGAAGAAAGAGACAGAGAGTCGGGGGGGGGGGAGGGGGATAGACAGAACAGGAAAATTAGTCGATAGAGTACAGAAAATGGATAGAGAGAAATAGTTAAAAAGGGGATGTGGACAAAGAAGAAAAACAAAACAAAACAGAGAATATCATTAATACCATGCTGTATTATCCTCATCTAAAGAGTTCAGAAAATATACTCACTGGAAAGGGTAATATTTTAATGAAAGATCCTATTCCTACATTAACAAAATTTAATATGCCTTACTTTTAACATATATTAAAGTTGTAGCTTGTTATTCATATACAGGAATACTGTATGACAATCACCAACGTCTTAGCTGTCGAAATAAAATGACGGGATGCATTCAAATGCTGTCATCCTTAAAAGAACAGAAAGCCTGCCAGGTGTGCGTTAACTTTATATGTGAGATGAGATTACACACAGATAACTGATGAGCATGCAATCCGATATGCAGACGTATCTGGAAATCTCTATATTCTAGGTCGGCGCTCAGAATGGAAAAATGGTTAATGTCATTTCAGAGAAAGAACACCTTTACTCGAAGAGGTAAAGTACACTAATATACATTTGATTTAATATTTGTTTTTAGCTCGTTACATCTGCTTCTGTTTGTATTCCTGCATCTTTCACGCTTAATTTTTCCAATTTGATAGTGAGTTTGCAGCCTGAAATATCGCTATTTTTTAAAATCTGCGTTTATTTATAGAGATTTGATATTACTACCTACGTCATCAACTCATCATCATGGTGGCATTTCACATGTTTCAGGAGTTGATTAAAGGAATAAAATGATAAACTATCTGTATAAATGGAATTAGATGTATTCGAGAGCCTTCTGTCAAGAAATATATTTCTTTTGGCTGGCTTATTTGAGCCTTATCACCATCTCTGGAAATCGTAAAAATCTCAAGCAATTTGATGACCTGATCATTCCAGTGTACTGGGCAAGTGAAACCAGCCTCGGAATAGGAGTACGTATCTTAAATTGACTCGGTAACATTGTTGAAGGTTAATGAAAATACTGCGTAATTTTTGTATGAAATGTTTCTTATTATATTCCTTTTACTGAACTAATCCCCTAACATGCAAAACATCTTGACAACATTTTCAAACCACAAAATATTTATGGTTTTCTTTGAAGGCGCCACTGTGCAACACCATCTAACAGTAGATTCTACCAACCATTTTTGAATTTTCCCCACCCGTTTTTTCAACGAAAATAAGACTTAAGACAGGCTTTTAAAAATCTGTCAACACTTGAATTTCTGGAATGGTCTATAGAGCCAATTCATTGCTTTTTGAAGATTTATATTCACCTAAATTGTAATCAATTTGTAATAATATACTTTGGAGACTAAGAAATCGATCAGATTAGTTTCCCCCAATTTTTAACATTAATAAAGGTTTGTTTTCACTCAAACTTTCAGATTATCTTTAAATGTACATCTAGCATTGAATTCACTACCTTAGCACCATTTTCTCTCATCTAAACCATGTTACCAAGTCCCTTTAAACTATGTTCAGCTTGAAATCCTTTACCGTTTCAACTATATCAAGTTAATAAAAAGAAAATGGCCCTTTATAATCGCATTTAGACGATGCAAACATTTGAAGGGGTGACGTATTCGAAACACATTTCAGGATTCTCTAAAAATACCGATGAAACTTGATTAAGAGAAAACTAAGTGAACCGGTGATTCGATTGCATTAGAAAGGTTTTTTTCTCGAATAACTGTTTATTCTCTCTTTCCCCCGAATGGGTTTTCTCGAAGACAGAAAAGAGAGAAACTCGTTTATAAATGGATACCAGAGGAAAAAAAGGGTTTAAAATGTACCCAAGAGCACAAGATTAGAATAAGGTAAATCCCGATGGCGAATGACTTGTTATCTTTTGAGATGACTGCTCCAGTTTTCACGTATCGAATGCCCGACTGATAGAATTACTCCTGTTTGCTCTAGTCGGTGGGATGTGGGCCATACGTCCCCAGTGAGTCAGTGTAAAGTACAAAGGTTTTCTTTTCCCCATTCTATGTCAAAACCCTTCTCAGAAGCCCATTAAAGAGTAAATTGACGATCGAGACAGGAAATGGCTGCGACGTGCATGCCAACTTGGTTATGGCTACATTGTCATTCGATCTCAATCATCATGTGGATCAAGAACTATGAGGGTGATTCTAAAGAGTCTGGAGCTTTTTGTGGCAAGATTCATTCGTCATCCTCTATTCGAGATGTTATTATTATTATAAATTATCTTTCGACATAAATATGATTATAGGCAGTGTGAATTCCTTGCCTTGCAATATGTTTAGACTGACATGTTATCAAAACGGAGACTTTATGATTCTACATGTCCAAATTCAGTTATTTAGAAAATGATTATTAAAGGACTTGTTAACATTTTTCAGATGAGAAAAAATGGTGCTAAGATAGTGACTCCAATGCCCGTACTTTTAAAGATAATCTGAAAGTTTGAGTGAAAACAGACCATTAATATTGATAAAAATTGAAAAAACTGATCTGATTGATTCCTGAACAATCCCGTATATATCATTATGATTTTTTTAATTTTAGGTGAATGTTAAACGTCACAGAGCAATGAATTGGCTTTATATACAATTCCAAACATTTAAATGTCTACAGATTTTTAAAAGCCTGTTTTATATCTCATTTTCATAAACAAACGGTTGGGAAAATTCAAAAATTCGTTGGGAGAATGAGTGTGTCGCACAGTGACGACTTCAAAGAAAACCATAAATTTCTTTGTGGTTTGAGAATTTGTTTGCATGTTAGGAGGTTAGTACAGTAGAAGGAATTTAATAATAATAATAATAATAATAGTGGGTTCTTGTATAGCGCTCATGTCAGTCAGATTTGACCCTCCTGGCGCTCCCGATTATTACCTTGGCTTTAGCACGGCTGCCATACGGCGCTCTAGCATTTCAAGGAATGAATTCCTACCAGGTACCCATTTACTTCACCTGGGTGGAGTGTGGCAAATGTAGATCAATGTCTTGCCAAAGGACATTAGTGCGGCGGCGGGACTCGAATAAGTAGCATTTCATACAAAAATACGCAGTTTTTTCATCAACCGTCATGTTACTGGTTCACTTTAAGAATTTACAGTATGTCTGTTAGTAGCCAGAATGGCGTTAATGACACTCACTTGAATATCTACTTGGTTGAGCGGTTTTTCTTCATGTTTCACCATGAGGCCTTGTGACGAGAGTGAATTGGTTGCATCCCACGTCCTCTGTCTCAGACCAGTGGTGCCAGTCTTCATACGAGCATCCGTCTTGTCCCCTTTACCGTGTAATACAAGGTAGACCTGGACAAAAGAGATATATAGGCCGGGTCAATACAGACGTGACTCAACAAAGAGGATCACATAATCAACACATACTATTTCGTTTCAACGAAAACGTAGAGTACTGGTCATGCGATGGGCTGTGGAAGAAACTGAAAGCAATGGGGAAAGGTTGATCGCATTGTACAGAGACCGTATAGTTTTATTATGATCATAATGTAAAGAAACCACATACACTGCACCACAGAAATAGGTATATGGGACTACACACAAACATGTGGCGCCGATCTTTGGTTCCAAACCTTTCAGCTACATCTCGTCATATTTTCAAACGTGACGTCATTTGAAACCAACCCTTATACGGATAAATCTTCCAAGACATTATCTCAAACTGTTGCAAAATGAATGAGTTAGCCTACAAATTATTCTCACTTTTACTAGAACTCAGCTGTCTCTTTAAACGAAATAACCCGAGAGGTTTCTATTATATTAAGTTCATAACCGGAACAGCTCCTATGAGACCTACTACACATGCGTCATTCGTTCTAGACTTCTAGAGGTTCTCTTAGTAAAAGAGTGAGCTCGTATTTGAGATGTTATTTTGACGCCAAAATTCACGAGAAGGCTTCATATTTATTTGCTTCCTTTTGGAATATCTTTTAATCATACTCCCGAGTCTACTTTCTAGAAATGATTAAAGCTTACAATGTCTCCCTCTGTGATGGCTTATAGTTCCAGAAATTGAATATACATCATTTACAATATTTCATTTTCAAAGAACGGATTCATTGATAGCCACTCATGTTCCACTACATTAAGAGGAGAAGGCAAGTTTAGTGACGAACCAACGGTATTTTACAAATCAGATACTAATTTGTAAAATGGTAAGATTGGTTTCTTAACATAGTAAACGGTTCTTGACGACTAGAAAAGTGCCCAAATTAATATATTGTAGGCACAAATCGCTTGGTATAAGTTAATGGGAAATTAGGGGGGGGGGCGATATGGATCTGTATATCCAGACGACTGACTCATCCCTTGACTGTCGATCATCCAGGACAACTATTCTCCAGAGGAAACTACCCCGGACACTAGTTGCGATGGACAACAAACATCCTATGAAAACTATACCCATTTGGATAACTAACTCTTTAAAGAGGGCGACCACCTCATGGAAATGTAACCCAATAACCACTCAGACAACTACCTAAGAGGTTATTGTTCTAGTTGTCCGGGGGAATTGTGGAAGGGTAACTGTGTCTGCGTTTGTAATCTATGGGCAGGTGTTCCATAGGGATAGCTGTCTTGGGATATAGTCGTGGAGGGAGCTATCCTAGCATGATCATTACGATGAACAAATTGTGAACTTCACACACCGGCCATATTTTCCCATATGGAGGTCCGGTAACTATACTTTGGATGATTTGGGATATTTGTTAATAAATTACTAATCGAGAAACCCATGTATAAATTTTACACGTTTTACACTTCCGGAGAGTTTCCCTGGTCGTATCTCCACGACGAAGAAACACACAGTTGAATCTGAATCCCACCATCCAACAGCCCACAGACGATGACCGTGTTTTGACCGATAACCAGGTGGGTTCAAGGGTGCTATGCTTAACCTGTTTATCTCAAAAGCATCCATCACATTCCAGGATCGAAGAATATCCACAAGCTATCATCAACGCGATTAAATTCTCCTCTAGGGCACTATGGCATCTCGAAGGAACCCATCATCCTTCACGAACAGACCGATATTCGTATCCTGATGGCTTTATCTTTCGGGCGGGGGTACGGTCCGAATACGGGTATTTACCTCTAGAGTGCCTCCGCTGGGGATACTGAACTTCCAAACGATGACAAAGATGATGATTGGGGAGATGGATGGTGATGAGTGCTGTTATGAAGAGGGTCAAGAAGGAAGAACGCGATGGGATTGACCCATTTGGACACCCGACACCGGGTAATATTTCAAGCAACCAGTCCGGAGGGGCTGCGCTCACATGACAATCACCTGACAATTGTGAATATCTGGTCTGACCACTTAAGAGGGTGTCAATTTTCCCGCCATTATGTCGCGGTTCCGTTTTGTTTCGCGTCAAGTATTGTCATCATCTGCCGAAGGGGATTGCGTTTTAACTTCATTGGACGGTGTCAAATTCTTTTTATAAACATACTTCAGACGAAACGCAGATGCATTATGTGACGAAGTATGGATGAGTATGTCCTCCATTTACAAGATCGGAGTATTATAGCGTCCACTCACAGAAGTGCAATACACTTCTGGTTATGCATAATATTGGTCCAGTCGGAATCCATTGGATTGCCTTATTCGACCAAATCACAGTGACAATTTACAACGAGAGAAAAGGGGTTAAAACTTTAATCTACGTAAGATATGAACTTAGTATTATGCAATGTACAATGTTTCTTTCAATATTGTTTTTTCGAATCTGAGTTTGGAGTCATGAAACAACTAAGGGACTTTTGTGTTTTCGGAAAGATTTGCGCCAAAATACGATTAATATATTGGATTTGGTTTGTTTATAGTCATGATACAACTAAGGAACTTGTATGTTTTCGGAAAGATTTGCGTCAAAATACGATTAATTTATTGATTCAGAGACATGATGTTTGACACAAGGGTACGACAATATTTTTGAGGTAAATATCCCACCACTATACAAATTTAGAAGATAATCAATCAGATGCCACACGTCTTTTGAGTTTATTCTTAAACGATTCATTGGTTTACCAATGATCCCAGCGCACCGACACACATCGGTTCTCCATACGCCTCTAACCTAAAATACGATTGAGATTCCAATCAACAATTTGATTCAATGATTATGATGATTGGCACATGGGATCGGCATTTATGCTTGAATTACATATCCCGCCTCAAGCCATATCTTAAGAGAGTGAATTGGAAACATAATTATTTCTCCTGAGACTCTTCTCAAACAATCGAATGCGGTGACAGATGATTCCCTCAACGCCACTCCACATTGTTTCGCAATGTTTGTCCAATCCCCGATCAATGTAAACAAGCTTATAAACTATTTTTTGTCAGTACCGCGGAGTAATAAATTCATGAGTGGTGTCTTCATTGGTCCTGTTTCTACATCTACGGAGAACCCCTAAATAGAATAAATCACGAACCCGTGTGTAATCCAAAGGCGAAGAAAGACCAAAACTACCTCCGGGGCATCTGTATTTACTTTTCTGTTTATTACACATCAAATCCCTGATCAATTCTCATGAGAGCTGCAGTGTCATCTCCTTCCTTCAGGCCAAACATCATCACATGACATCCTTACAACAATTTACATAGACTACCTTGGGATGGGACGGTACATGTCATACGAATTTTGAGTACAACTAGGGTGTGGTACAATCCTTCCCCTTCGGCACGTATCCAGCAATGGATGGCACTGGCGTAGCCCCTCTCCTTTATGGAAATGGAGGGGGGGGGGGGTGGTGAATAAATTTATTGCTTGCGTCTCCTCCATTTTTTATGAAGGGATTTGCAGAAATTAATACAAGGCATGTGTGCAAAGAAAATTACATTCTGCTCTTCGTTCGCGAGGCGGAGGGAGGGGGGGGGGGGGCAAGGGGACGTCAAGTTTGTGAGTATGCTGTCCACCAAAGCCCTATATTGAATTTAATTGTTTCCATGGACTTTACAAACAGGGTGAGTTATCAGATTGCTAGACTGAGCCTTGGGAATTACAGGATCGTTTGAATGCACTGTTGAGAAATCGCAATTGATACTGAAGAACAAATTGGGGGGGGGGGGGGGGGAGGTGGGGGTCTAGTCTGTGAGTTGTCCACTTGTCCCCTTACGATCCACCTTTAATTCAATTGTTTCCATGGACTTTACAGACAGGGGGTGTTAATCAGTTTGCTAGACCGAGCCTTGGGAATTACGGGATTGTTTAAATGCATTGATGAAAAGGTTAATGGATACTGAAGAAGGATCCTAGAAAAAGTACAACGATTGTTTGACTTTAGACAAGATAGTAAACACCCTGTGGTCTAATAGCCGCGTGAAGGATATACGCCAAAATGGAGGTAAAGAAACAAAATAATCGTTAAATAATCTTCAAACACACGTACACGCAAAAACAGTTTCAGAAAGTTTAGAATCATTCAGATCACATCGAAATGTAAAATATGAATGGACTCATTTTAGGAAAAAACAAAGGTTAGAGGTGTTGTCTGAACTATACGAGTAATAGAGCTGATAAATGTTATCTTTCTCTTATTAAACACCATTTCACACCTTTTTAAACCTTTCTTCCTACACTCTTAAAAATACGTGTTAAAGGTGCATGCTTGACTACCAAAATGTGGTAAAAAAATGACCACGTCGTGGTCGTTTTTGACCACGTTTTGGTAGTCAACCATGTACCTTTAAAAACGACCACGACGTGGTCATTTTCTGACCACGTATTTTTAAGAGTGTATTACCTTTTGCCAGATTTCCAAGAGCAGAAGATTAGCAACTGGCTGAAGCAAGTGTCTCCGCGTTTAAATAACTAAAATAACTAAAACAAAAAGTTTCCGTACAGAAAAGAAAATATAGAGTCATTCGAATTCTGAAATGTGTGAACACGCTATATAGGGTAACCTCACATCAAGTGATTTCCAATCCACTTTGTCACCTTACTGTGGTACGTACGTATTCACTGCAGTGGTTTTTCATTAGACACGCCATTGCTGTTACACGGTGTGTCACAGTGACGTGAAACATTAAAGATTTAAAGTGTATAAGGGCAAATTCAATACGATAATCTTCTTTTTTCTTCATCATTTCATATTTCGCCTTCACCTACTGGCTTGCGTACAGAAGGTTACTATATACAAACGGTACTCTTAAATATAAAAGTGTCCATGTTGCTGATAAGGTCAGAGAAAGCTTGACTCACAAAAGCATGATCTCGTGTCTTTTCTTCGTTACTGGAAGGATTTTCATCTAATTCTTCATAACATACACCAGATATTGTCGCCGTTTG